AAGATCATATAAGCCCAGGAGTTCAAGACCAGCCTGGGCAATATGGCAAGACCCTATCTCAAAAAAAAAATTTTTTTTTAATTAGCTAGGCCCTCCAGGCACAGTGGCTCACACCTGTAATCCCAGCACTTTGGGAGTCTAAGGCAGACAGATCATGAGGTCAGAGACAGAGACCATCCTAGCCAACATGGTGAAACCCCATCTCTACTAAAAATACCAATAAAATAAAATAAAATTAGCTAGGTGTGGTGGCACACGCCTGTAATCCCAGATACTTGGGAGGCTGAGGCAGGAGAATTGCTTGAACCAGGGTGTCAGAGGTTGCAGTGGGCTGAGATGGCACTGCACAGAGTGAATGAGACGCTGTCTAAAAAAAAAAATTAGCTAGGCCTGGTGGCATGGATTTGTAGTCCCAGCTACTTAGAAGCTGAGGTGGGAGGATTGCATGAGCCTGGGAGGTCCCCATTGCAGTGAGCTGTGATTACATCACTGCACTCCAGCCTGGGCAACAGAGCAGGATCCTGTCTAAAAAAAAAAAAAAAAAAAAAACTACATACACAATACACCTTGTCTCATTTTACTTATATATCCAGACATAAGGCATACTGCCCACCCACCCACCACCCTAACTCCATCCCATACATATAGGAAACAAGAAATTACTATCAATCTGAGACTCTGGATTTAAAAGGGCCTATTGTACACCAAACCACAAACATCACTGGGAAATTCCAGAACGTAAAAAATAAAGAGGAGATCCTAAAAAGTTCTAGAAAGGAAAAAAATACACAACAGTTTACATAAAAAGTATCAAGGATCAAAAGGGCATTGAATCTCTTCATAACAATAGCAGAAGCTATAAGTTAATGGATTCGTTCTTGATTTTCAAAAAACCTAAGGGGACTTTGTTTTCTGACTTCAATTTCTATATCCAGCCAAATTATAAACAAAGTATAAAGATAGAAACAAACAAACAACAAAGGTATTTTCAGGGGCTGGGCGTGGTGGCTCATGCCTGTAATCCCAGCAATTTTGGAGGCCAAGACGATCGGATCATTTGAGGTCAGGAGTTAGAGACCAGCTTGGACAACATAATAAAACCCTGTCTCTTCCAAAAATACAAAATTTAGCTGGGCATGGCAGCATGTGCTTGTAGTCCCAGCTACTAGGGAGGCTGAGGCAGGAGGATTGCTTGAACCCAGGAGACAACGGAGGTTGCAGTGAGTCGAGATTGCACCACTGCACGCCAGCCTGGGTGACAGAGTTAAGGCTCGGCCTCAAAAAAAAAAAAAAAAAAAAAAAAAAAAGATATTTTTAGATATTTAAATCCACAAGTATTTTACTTTTCATACACACTTGCAAAGTGTGTACAAAATACTGAATGCTGTTCTTTGGAAAAATAAGACAGAAAACCAAGAAACAGAAATTATAGAGACCAGAGAACGCAGCACAGCATGACAGCTACACGGGAGGCATAGGAGGCAACCAGTTCGGGTTAGACCTGAGGGGAGAAGCCTCCAGGAAGAAGCTCTCCTGGATAAAGCAAAACCAAAGCACACTGACGCCCTTGTGTGAAAAACAGAGTCACGGCCAGGCGCGGTGGCTCAAGCCTGTAATCCCAGCACTTTGGGAGGCCGAGACGGAGGCGGGTGGATCACGAGGTCAAGAGATCGAGACCATCCTGGTCAACATGGTGAAACCCCGTCTCTACTAAAAAAATACAAAAAATTAGCTGGGCATCGTGGCGCGTGCCTGTAGTCCCAGCTACTGGGGAGGCTGAGGCAGGAGAATTGCCTGAACCCAGGAGGCAGAGGTTGCCGTGAGCCGAGATCGCGCCATTGCACTCCAGCCTGGGCAACAAGAGCGAAACTCCGTCTCAAAAAAAAAAAAAAAGACAAAAACAGAGTCAAGAGCATATTACAGAGCTGTAGGAGTATTTAAAATTAATGATCACACAAATCTAAAAATATATCGAGTCAATAACTCCAGAAACATGTAGGGACTTTGTGTGATGATACCTTGTAAAATATAAAGCAAAGCAAAAAGAAAAAATTCCAGGAACATTTTTAAATGTTTAATAAGAAAAGGAACATATGCTCGTCTACTTACCTCAGCCAAAAAATAAAAACATTTACATAGTCATAATAATGTGAATCCCAAATATTGATTTACCCAAAAATTATGATAGAAGTTAGGAGGAACGAGAAGTCGGGACAGCAGTGGTATAAGAAAGCCAAATCCTCATCTAGGATAACAGATGATTAAATTTCAAAATGGATTCAGTGAAATATGGTGCTATAAACACATTCCTAAGAATGACGGAGGAAAATGCCATAGGGGATGGCTTTGAAGTATATATCATTAAAAAGCAGGACTGTGGCTGAGGAGCTGTGGGAGAGGGGTCTTAAAGGTTTTTTTAAATTTGTTTCTTTTCCTTTGAGATGAAGTCTCACTCTGTTGCCAGGCTGAAGTGCAGTGGTGCAATCTCGGCTCACTGGAACCTCCACCCCCCAGTTCAAGCAATTCTCCTGCCTCAGCCTCCTGAGTAGCTGGGATTACAAGCATGTGCCACCATGCTTGGATAATTTTTGTATTTTTAATAGAGATGGGGTTTTGTCATGTTGGCCAGGCTGTTCTTGAACTCCCTACCTCAAGTGATCTGACCAGCTCAACTTCCCAAAGTGATGGGATTACAGGCGTGAGCCACCGCACCTGACCAGGGGTCTTAAAATTTGAAAACTACATTCATGAGATAAAAAATTTAAATGAATTCACTTTAAATGGTAGTGTGGAAGTGCCATTTCAGGTGTCTAGGATGGCAGATAACATGTTTTTGTGTTTGCTAAGACTTGTAGAGGTCACTACCCATAGTAATGGGTAGTAGATCACTACTCCTCTAATTGTTGATGTAATTAGAAAAAAAAACAGCTTTAAAATGAGTTATTTTTACAATGACTGTGTTTTTTGTTTACTTTCCCTTTTGCAGTTATAAAATTACAACATTTAGAATTGGAAGAGACAGGAGATTGAATTAAGATGGTTAACTCAGCACAGATACCTAAAAATGACAGAAAAGAGATTACAAGTTTAAAATAATAAACCCATAACAGGACTAGAGAACAGGAAGGGGTATTCTTGGTGCACCAGAAATAAGAAGGAATATCTAAATAAGGGAAGGCAGGCGGGGTTGGTTCACAGAGGAGGCTGTTTTTCTGAGAGCCAACAACTCTTGCAGAGGAAGAAGTCATTCTTCCTTGGATGCTCCAAGCCTCCAGCTCCAAGCCAGGTACAGGTTGGGAGGAGTAAGAGGGGATCCCAGAGGCAAACCTGGGGGTAACTGGCTTGGGACATGCATTAGGAGCAGCCGGATAAGATGAGCTCTGACCTCTCCTTGCCAAGTCGAGGTGTCTGCTGTTGGGTAGGAGCAATGGATGTGAGCTTTGGAAGAAGTCTTGCGAACATGCAGAAACAATGGGAGTCCCTACATCCAAGAGACTGACTATGGGTACAGTCCACTTGACAGTAGGAATATCTCATCCCTTCTTGAGAATGCTGGGAAGCAAAGAAGGCACTCTAGACAGGATGCAAGGATATCACTGTCATTATATGAGTTCACACCTAAGAATGGGCACTTTTTTACAAAACCAATATCCTGAAGCGTGATATCAAACTCAATAAGCAAAAGCTCATTTTTTTCTGAGGACACAGAGTTAATATCCTCAGAGAGATAAGAGAGGATATTGCATCCCTGAAACCGAACAGGATTTTTTTTTTTTTTTTTTTTTTTTGAGATAGGGTCTCACTCCTTCATCCAGGCTGGAGTGCAATATCACAATCATAGCTCACAGCAGCCTTGAATTCCTGGACTCTAGCTATCCTCCTACCTCAGCCTTCCAAGTCGCTCCAGGGCTGGAGGCAAGTGCCACCATGCCCAGCTAACTTTTTTTTTTAATTTGGTAGAGAGAGGGTCTTGCTACATTGCTCAGGCTGGTCTCCAACTCCTGGTCGCAAGTGATCCTCTCACCTTGGCCTCCCAAAGCGCTGGGATTACAGGCATGAGCCACCATGCCTTGGCCATTTTTTTTTTTCCTAAGGAAACGATTAGAGACATAGAAATCAAAACTTTGGCCAGGGGTGGTGGTTCATGCCTGTGACACCAGCACATTTGCTTCCCATTAAACTATAAACTTCCTCAGGGCAGCAACTATACCTCATTCATTTTCAAGCCTCAGTAGCACCCAGCACCATCTCTGAAGCACAGCTTGTGGTTAATGACTATTTACTAAGTAGATGAACCTAGTAGTGAACATTGGAGATACAGGTCTGCTTACTCATTCCCTGGGGTTCTTCAAGGAGAGCAACACCACTCATGTCTGCTTAGATGTCATTACTAATAGCGGTTGAGTAACCTGCAGAAGTAATAAAACCACTGTGTAAAAATTAGGCCACATCCGGCCAGGTGTGGTGGCTCATGGCTGCGCGCGGTGGCTCACAGCCTGTAATCCCAGCACTTTGGGAGGCCGAGGCAGGCAGATCATGAGGTCAAAAGTTTGAGACCAGCCTGGCCAACATGGTGAAACCCTGTCTCTACTTAAAATGCAAAATTAGCCGGGTATGGTGGCATATCTCTGTAGTCTCAGCTACTCGGGAAATGAGGCAGGAGAATCACTTGAACCCAGGATGCAGAGGTTTCAGTGAGCCGAGATCATGCCACTGCACTCCAGCCTGGGTGACAATGTCAGAACAAGAATCTTGCTGATTCCATTTGTATTTTCCTTCCTACTGCATTCTTGACAGTCTCTGTGTTGACAGGGAGCTCCCTGTCTTATCAGTCTACTTTGTTGTTGGAGAGCTCTAATTTAAAAGTTTAACAATTCTCTTGGATTCTGAATTTTGTCTCCTTGCTCTTAAACCCCCTGGTCCTGGATCTATCTCTAAAGCAAAACGAAGTTTGCTTCACCTTCTAGAAGAAAGCCTTTCAAATGTTTGCAAACACTTACCATGTCTCTCTCCTTAGCCTTCTTGTCTCTGAGCCAATCAGTCAATTCATTCAACTGTTTTTCACCTGACAGCTTCCAGACGCTGTTTTCTTCTGCTAACGTTTCCCCTGAGCTCTTTTTAGATTATCCCCAATACCTGGGATAGAAACAACCTGTGGTAGATCCAAAATTGCACATAGTTTGGATATGGCCAAATTTTTATTTTTATTTTTATTTTTTTTTTGAGACAGAGTCTCACTCTGTCACCCAGACTGGATTGCAGTGGTGTGGTTTCAGCTCACTGCAACCTCAGCCTCCCAGATTCAAGTGATTCTCCTGCCTCAGCCTCCCAAAGTGCTGGGATTATAGGCATGAGCCACTGCACCTGGCCAGAAGCACTTTTTTTTTTAAATTATAGAGACAGGGTCTCACTCTGTCACCCAGGCTGGAGTGCAGTGTTGTGATCATAGCTCACTGCAGCCACTAACTCCTGGGCTCAAGCCATCCCTCACCCCAGCCTCCTGAGTATATAGGAATATAGGCAAGCATCACCATGCCCAGCTAATATCTTATTGTTTGTAGAGACAGGGTCTTACTATGTTGCCCAGACCAATCTTGAACTCCAGGGCTCAGGAGATCCTTCTGCCTGGGCCTCCCAAAGCACTAGGTGTACAGGTGTAAGCCATTATGCCCCACCCTGGAAGCTCATTTAGAAGGAGGCTCTTTCCCGGGCATTTATTTCTCCATTGCCAGGGCAGGACCTCACACTCAGGGTGGGCAGCCTCAGGACCTGGTGCTGGAGCTTCCAAACTGGCGACCAAGCCAACAGGCTGCACTATTGTGTCATAAAGAGCACTCTCTTCATTGATTTTGACAAGGGTGGTTTAATTCAAATTATTCATGATGCTTTACAGTCCACTGGAGACTGCCCGAAAGTCCTTTGATCGGGGGCAATCCAGAGGAGTAAACCGAGAGCTTGGTCTGCTTCTCAATTGTCAAATCTCCCCCTCTTTTTTTTTTTTTTTTTTTTTTGGTAGATACAGGGTCTCATTCTGTCACCTAAGCTACAGTTCAGCAGCACAGTCACAGCTCACTGCAGCCTCAAAGTCCTGGACTCAAATGATTCTCCCACTTCAGCCTCCTGAGTAGCTGGGACTACAGGCCTGTGCCATTATATCCTGCTAGCATTTAAATTTTTTGGTAAAGATGGGGTCTTGCTATGTTGCCCAGGCTGGTCCGGAACCCCGGGCCTCAAGCAGTCTTCCCACTTCAGCCTCCCAAAACATTGGGATTACAGATGTGAGCCACGGCACCCAGCCTCAAATCCCTCTTACAAAGAAAGAAGAGTCTTTTCAAGAAAGAAGAGTTATTTGTTCATTCAATAAGTATTTATTGATCTTGATGTGATCATTATATGTGTATGATAACAACAGGTTTATGAGAATAAATGGGTCTGTGATTGAGTAAATGAAAATTCACTCCTTACAGGTCCATAAGTATTCTATTTTTATATGAAGACTCTTGTGCCACAGTCTTGTAGAATCCAAAACAACTGTATCTCTGGGTATTCGTGGAGGCCACTAGTGGCACAATTCCATGTACTTGATTGAATTATGTCCCTCTCCCTCCCAAACTCTTATGTTGAAGTCCTAACCTCCAGTACCTCAGAATGTGACATATGTTTAAGATAGAGTCTTTCAAGAGATAAGAAAGCGTCCTACTCTGTTTGGACAGCAATAGCCAAATACCATAGACCAGGTAGCTTATCAACAACAGAATGCTATTTCTCATGGTTCTGGAGACTGGTAAGCCAAGGTGCTGGCAGATTTGGTGTCTGGTGAGACACTTGCTTCCTGGTTCATGAGGGTCACTGTGTTCTCACAGGTGAAAGGAGCAAGGGTGATCCCTGCACTTTCTTTCCTAAGGGCACTAATCCCAATCATGAAGGCTCCACCCTAACGGCCTAATCACCACCTAAAGGCCCCACCTCCCAATAGCATCGCACTGGGGGCTTGGATTTCAACATACACGTTCTGGGGATGGGAAGCACACAAACATTCAGTCTCTAGCATTAAGGTTAAATGAGATCACTATGGTGGGTCCTGATCCAATACTCTTATAAGAAGAGATTAGGACACAGACACAGAGAGAAGAGTATGTGCAGGAAGACAGAGGGAGGAGATGATCATCTACAAGCCAAGAAGAGATGCATTAGAAGAAATCTACCCTAGCCAGGTATGGTGGCTCATGCCTGTAATCCCAGCACTGTGGGAGGCTGAGGTGGGTGGATCGCTTGAGGTCAGGAGTTTGAGACCAGCCTGGCCAACAAGGTGAAATCCTGTCTCTACTAGAAACACAAAAATTAGCCAGGTATGGTGGCACCCACCTGTAATCTCAGCTGCTCTGGAGGCTGAGGCAAGAGAATCACTTGAACCTGGGAGGCAGAGGTTTTGCAGTGAGCTGAGATTGTGCCACTGCACTCCAGCCTGGGTGACAGAGAGACTCTGTCTCAAAAAAAAAAAAAAAAAAAAACGAGGAAGAGGAACAAAAAGAAGAAGGAGGAGGAGAAGGAGAAGGAGAAAGAAGGAGAAGGAGGAAAAGGAGAAACCAACCCTGCTGACATATTGATCTCGGATTTCTGGCTTCCAGAATTGTGAGACAATCAATTTCTGTTGTTTAAGCCCCACCAGCACACGATGCTTCGTTATGGCAGCCCTAGCAAACAAACACACAAACCCTCCTCCCTTCTGTGACATTTTGAGACAGGAATCATATCCAAGATATTAGGACTGAACTGTTTTGATTCATGAAAGAATTGAAGAAACACCCAGCTAATAAGTATTCCTAGCAACACAGTGTGCTTTAGGAAAGGAAAAAAAATATGGTGGGGAGGGGATTGAGATGTACCATGTCCCAGCTCAGCAAGCTGTTGATCTGCTAAAAAAGCGTGTTTGTTATTACTCACATTTCCTTCCAGTGTAGGAAGGCTCCCTGGGGCTGGCATTGCTGCATCAATGCTCAACACCCAGGCATGTGTTTACCATGGTCACCAGCAGTTCACTCACATTGTGCAGTCTTTTAACAAGGACCCAGAGATTATAATTTAGATGAACATGAAAACTCTCCAACTTTAATCCCCAAAGAAGGAAGCCTTTTCCAGCAGTAGGTGAATACGGGTGATTAGCACCTTAGTTTGTGCTCCTAAATGTCTGCCTTGTGCTTCTCCTCCCTTTGGACCCTCCCCCTGCCATGCCCAACATACTCCACTGGAGCCGTGGGTCACACCACATCCCCAGCTTGGCCATGTCAAGATCCACTTTGGCTTCTCCAGGAAACATTTCTGGCTATGGTCTCTACCTGTTGCCCAAATTTCTTGCCAGCATTTTGAACATTTTCCCAGCTTTCCCCCTAATCTCATGAGCCTTGAGCCCAGTGTGCTTCTTTTTCTTTCTTGTTTTTTTTTGAGGCAGGATCTCATTCTCTTACCCAGGCTGGAGTACAGTGACACAATCACAGCTTACTGCAGACTCAATCTGCCGGGGTCAAGCAATCCAAACAATTCAGTCTCCCCAATAGCTGAGATTACAGGCACTCACAACCATGCTTAACTATTTTTTTTTAATTTTTTTGTAAAAACAGGGTTTTACCAGATTACCACCCTCCTCAGCCTCCCAGAGTGCTAGGATTACAAGCGTGAGCTATAGCATGTGGCCCCCGTGTGCTTCGTAACTCCATTCCCACTTTGCCCATGACTGAGCTGCCTAGCTTGTAGATTCAGTTATTCCTCTGGAGAACGTCATCCAAATATGACCTGCTCACCTCAACCAGGCCCATCAGTTCTCCTAGTTGATGGTTATGAGCTTGTCCTTATTCTCCTGGCCTAATACACTACCTTTCCAGACCTAGTAAGAAGTCCCTAGTCAAAGCAACCTTTTTGCACAAATCGCCTTATTACCGCCTGAAGTTTGGCCAACATTTACATATTTCTCCCTTCTTCGCATCTTGTAGAAAGAATTTTTGTGCCCAAATCAATGGCAAAACGACTTCCATATTTACTGAAAGCTGGGCATAAAATTCTTCCCTAATGCTCTCTTCTATCAGTATTACTGGTAGCAAGCCTACTTGGCAAACCTAAGGACCCAGTTTTTTTTCACATTGAAGTATATGTTAGATGCACCAGAAAAAAATCATTCACAAAATGCTCAACATCACTAATAATCAGAGAAATGCAAACTGAAACCACAGGAGGGATTATCTTACATCAGTCAGAATGGCTATTGTTAAAAAGTCAAAGAAACAACAGATCTTGGTGTGGATTCAGAAAAAGAGACAATCTGATTTAGTCTGGCTGTGTCCCCACCCAAAGCTCATCTTGAACTGTAATCCCATAACCCCCAGATGTGGTGGGAGCGATCTGGACAGCAGTAACTGGACCATGGGGGCAGTTTCTCCCATGCTGTTCTCATGATAGTAAGTTTTCACAAGATCTGATGGTTTTTTAAGGGGTTTCTCCGTTCAGCTCTCATTCTCTGTCCTGCCGTCATGTGAAGAAGGACTTGTTTGCTTCCCCTTCCGCCATAATTGTCAGTTTCCTGAGGCTTCCTCAGCCTTGTAAAACTGTGAATCAATTAAACCTCTTTTCTTTATAAATTACCCAGACTTGCGTGTGTCTTTATTAGCAGCGTGACAATGAATGAATACAGAACTCTTATATACCATTGGTGGGAATCTAACTTACTACAGCCTTTATGGAAAACAGTATGGGGATTTCACAGAAAACTCAAAATAGAACTACCATTGGATCCAGCAATCCCATTGCTGTGTATCTATCCAAAAGAAAAGAAATTCTTATACAAAAAAGACACCTGCACTTTATGTTTATTGCAGTACTAGTCACAATAGGAAAGACACAGAATCAACTTAGATGAGCATCAATGATGGACTCTATTTAAAATGTGGTACATGTAATACCGTGGCATACTATGCAGCCACAAAAAAGAATGAGATCATATCCTTGCAGCAACATGGATGGAGCTGGAGGCCTTTATCCTAAGCGAATTAATTTAAAAACATCACACCACATCCCCAGCTTGGCCAAAAAAAAAAAAAAAAATCCTCTTTTGCTTCTCACTTATAAGTGGGAGGTGTAATTCTCTGTGAGTGAGAAGCAAAAGTTATGTTTAATTAACATAACTTATTCCACATTCTCACTTATAAGTAGGAGTGAAACAATGGGTACACATGGGCATAAAGATGGAAACAATAGACAATGGGGACTCCAAAAGGTGGGAGGCTGGCAGAGAGATGAGGGTTGAAAAATTACCCATTGAGTACAATGTTCATTATTTAGGTGATGGGGACTCTAGAAGCCCAAACCTCACCATTATACAATACATTCTTGTAACAAGCCTGCATGTGTACCATCCGAATCTAAAACTTAAAAAAAAAAAAAAATCGCAAAATGTAACTAAGACTTATAATGCTGTCCCAGCCACTGTGAGAGCTCTCATTACAATCACCCTTTCGGTTTTGGGGTGTCTTCCACTGAGCCACAACAATGACCTTACTCTGAAATAAACCTTCTCTCAACCCCTCACTGGCTGTTAGACTAGATGACAGGTTAGTTTCTATCATCTTGTACCCCATTTCCTTCCTCCTCCACTTAGCCACAGACATGCTATGTCACCTTGGATTCTGGGGTGCTGTTCCATGCCCTCCCATTTCTCTCTTCACTTTCTTATCACACTGTTTCTGCTTGTTCAAAACCACAGCATCATGTGCG